CACAAAACAAGGCCTAAAAAAAAAGAGCTTGATGTGTAACTATAAGGAAGAAGGAGGACATGGATGCAAGAAAAGAAGAGAGGAAATGCTTGAGCATATCAGTGCTGCCCAACACTACAGTCACAGCACACAAGCTAGGTTGGGTGTTTGAACAGCATAGCTGTGGCAGCACAGTGCTGTGTCTGCAAGAGCAATCCCCTAAATCAGCCCCCACGGGCCTTCAGGTCTCTTTTATGGCGAGACTGCTCCTACTGCCTGAATTAGATGGGGTATCAGTGCCACACTGTGTACTTACACTGCCTCATTTGGCATTCATCAGTGGGTGCTTCCAGACTGTGCCTTGGCACGTTGGTAGGTTTTGTGGGCATCCCAGCAGTGAGTTCTAACAAAATGGTTGAAAAAGATTGTGAGGTAGGTTTGTGCATGGATGGAGTCCTCCTCAAAACCTTTGGAGCTTCGGAGGAGAGAGCATGAGAGTGCTTGATGGAGCTTCTACCAAAGGTCGAGCAGAGTTTGGTGTTAGAGACCAGCTAAAAATGGGATTAGATCTTGTCATGCTAAATGAGAAATGAGAAGCCTTGAAGCACTCCAGAAATTTTGCTTGATAAGGTAGAGGAACCAGCAGAAGGATAGAAAGAGAAAGGCAACAAAATTCAACACGACTTATGTGCTTACAGTGAAACTGAGATCCCACTCACTTCTATCGTTATACAGCTTCACCCTCCATGTGCTGGGTCTTGTTATTGCTGAGACTGCTAGGTCAAAAGGTCCTCAAGCTTCAAATCTTTCAGCCCAGAAAGTGATACCTGTGGTTCTGCTCTTCAGCACCTTTCTCAAAGCGTGTCCTACTAAAATAGGATATGACATTTTAGTGACAGTTTCACTCAGACTATAGACAGTGTTGTTTTCTGCTCCCAGTTCCTAGATATCCCCCTGCCCATTTTTTCGAGTACCAGATCTCTGTTCCTCTGTCACTGAAGCTCATGAGCAGCTGTTTGCCCATTTTGCCCCTGAAGCCTTTTGCAGAGCAACTGGTTTTCTGTTTGCAGCTTTCCTTTCTGTAAACGTGATCCAGATGTTGCAGCTGAATGTGCATGTGGCTCTACTAAAACGTACTGTGTGTGTTTGTGTGTGGTTTGCCAAGCAGTCCTGTGCTTTGTCATTCACAAGAATCCAACTGATCTGTGAATAAGCCAAGGTAAAGCCATATTATCTTGACCAACAGATATAATCCCTTCCTGTTTTCCTCTGATTTTAGACTATAACCTCTTCGACTGAACCAGTTTTCTGTTTGACAAGGGCCAGCATAACCTACTGGGAGATGTTTATCACAGGTCCCTCTGTAAGCTCCCAGTGGAGTCTGTTACAGCCTCCTGGCTGCAAACTCCAGCTCGGCAGAAGCACTTGCTTTTGATTACGGAGATCTCCAGTGTCAGCCAAGGAGGTGGATATCAAACCTGTGCATGTCGGGTGCTGCCAGCAACACACCATAAATAATAGTAATGGAGCGTAATTGCTCATCAAGCCAAATCATAGCCTGGAGTGTTCCATCTGGCCAAACTCCCTTTGACGTCAGTGGGAGCTTTGCCAGCAGATGTGCAACGGGACTGGGGTCCCAAGCAGCGATACCGCTGATGAGGTTCTGTAGCATCGGTACCAGGGTCTGATTCAGACCCCCTTGAAATTGCTGGGTGTCTTTGTGCTGATTTAGAAGCCTTTAGCTAATGGCCCTTGCATTACGCTGCTTCCCAGCTGGTACGGCTACATCTGCACAACAGTTATCCCAGATGGAGCATGGAGGAGGAGAATTCCTGACACTGAGCCATGGGATTTTAAATTTGGAGAGGAGATGGAAACTCTTTCCTATTGGGTCTTAAAAGGTGGTTTGTACAGGGGTGATTTGAGACTTGAAAATGCCCGAGAGCCTGTCTTTTGGAGGATGCAACTGAAAAAAACCCAACATGCAGTTGATACTGAAAAGCGTTGTGTCCCTGGTGTAAGGGCTATGAAGGCCAAACAAGCTGGTGTGCCTGCCTATCAGTCACCTACTGCTATTTGACACTGGTGCAACCCTTTGCAAGCGAGAATAATTTACTGTCATCTCACCCCCTCGACCCCATGAAAATTATTTACCATCCCCATTTCGGTTTGAACATTTACTGTTGTGGTTCAAAACTGTGATGAACTGGTTAGCTATAAATTTTCTCTCCTTCCCCCTTCTCCTCCCACCTCTTCCTATGTAATACTGGGATGAAGGTTAAGACATAGGGTGTTGCCTGAAGTAAGTGCTCTATTCTCAGTGCCCCATACATCCTCACTAATGCTTATAGCTCCCCTGTGGTATTGGGAAGTATCATCACTATTGTACTGAGGTAGAGCAGGAGCTGGAGAGAGATAAATGGCCTAGTTATCAAAACTTCCTAGCCTCCCACAGCCCTCCTTGGGAATACAGCTATAAATGACATTCAAATGATGCTGATAGATGTTAGCCGAGCGAGGAGCAGAACATGTGCGTTGCCGGTGCTGCGCTTGGGCCAGCCACTTCTTGCTGATAGTGTCATGGAGATCTCAGCTAACCTGACACTGGCTGCTGATGCGATAGCCGTGGGGGTGAGATACCGCGCTGTCTGCTCGCATCTGCTTTGTGGACAAATCCCTTGGGGTTGTAAAGGTTCAAAATCGGATGGAGCCTGAGACATATTAATGCTGGAGCTTGCAGAGCTGAAGGCAGATGTGTTAGCTACAGACTGGGAGGGCAACAGTAGCAGGGGGAGCTCCAGGCTGTGAGACCCATTTTTTCTTCTGAATATGCTCAGTTTAGAGCCTCAGAGAGTCCAAATATCAGAGGGGAAACAGTCCTTCTTCCACCCAGCAATGCAATGGCAGAAGTGTCATTTTTGACTGACCTAGGACATCTCCAATAGCGGCCTGTAGTCTGGTCCAAGGTAGTATGAGCCCTGCAGACCTGTGGTAGGTCCAAAAAAAAACATTTCCAGGAGCTCCCTTTCCATCTACTGTCCTCCTTGATGTGGGAAACAGAAGGACTGCTCAGATCATAAATCCCTTGGGGAATGGAGCAGGAACAGCTCGAGTAGGTGGCAGATCTGCTTTTCTTATGAGTCTGGAAGGGCTCGTGTGTGTCTTGGCATCTCTTCAGGAGATACCAGGAAAACTCCCCCATCTGGAGGAGGAGGACCTCTCGTGAAAACAACCAGCAATCTGTAAGACTTTGTCTTATTTTTTTTTAATTTATTATTTTTATTTATTATTATTATTATTATTATCTGGTAAGGCAGAAAGGCTCGATTAGACCCTTTGTATCCTCCCAGGGTGTAGCTATGTGAACGCTCAGCCCTGCAGGCAGGTTTTTACCCAAGAGCAGCTCTGCGAGGAGACGGGCTGTTTCTGGTGTGTTGTGGCAGAAATCTCGGGGCACCAAAGGTGCAGGACACGCAAAAGCTCTCTCTTCCCATCCTCCTTGCAGCCAAAATCACATGCCTTCACGATTTAGGTCCGAGACTGGACCGGGATGCTAAAGGCGGGGTTGAAGGGGGGGTAGCTATTAGCTCCCACTCTCAGAGC